GAACCGCTCTCCTTTTACTGCTGTTTTCTCAGTGTTTTTTCCAATTCTGATCGGCCTTTCTGCCTCACTGCAGCATGATTGAAGCCTGCAAGACTTCTCAGGAAGTGACTCAGCTCTCTCAGGAAGGACAGAAGATGCTAGAAAAAATTGAGCAGTCTCCAAAGCCTGTAGTCGCTGCCATCAGTGGCTCCTGCCTGGGAGGAGGACTGGAGGTATCGAACAAGTCTGGGTCTGACAGGCAGCAGTGGGAGTTGATAGCGCTGGTTCTCTAAACTATCCGAATGATGCCTGCGGGACTGCTGAGTGTCAGAGGGATTTGAGACCTGACGTGGGTTCGTTACATCCATTCAAATGAGTTTGTGGCGAGTTAATGGCTTGGTTGTGCTTCAGGGCTCTGCCATGCTAATTTTTCCGCTTCTGGTGAAAGACAGCTGATCAACTATGAATCAGTGTGGGCCAGGCTAATATTTAGATGAGAGCGTCCCAGGGAAAACCGGCTGTTTCCGGCAGGCATTGGATCTGGATAAATGCTGCTGGCAGAGTCCAGACTGGAAATTGCTGCTTTGCAGCTGAACTGTGTCTCGTATCCCAGCAACTTCTGTTCTTTTAAAGGTTGTTGTGAGAGGGATGAGTGTGGGGAACCCGGCCAGGCTCCACCCTGGCCTGCATACTCTGCTCCGTTGCTTGCCGCTTCAGCCGGGTGCAATATTTGCTTCATAATCTCCACTTAGGATTTTGTCAACTGAAAGACTCTGTGGTAACTCCTGGAGCAAAGTTGTTACTAAACCAGAATAACCTTGTAGGAATGGAGTCTCTTCGGTTGCTTGCTGATTCCTCAAGCAGTTGCAGCTTGTTAGAAGCGCTGTGGTGACAGATCTAGACCTGGTGATCCAGGGATAAACCAAGTATCATGGCAGATCTGTAAATGGGACCATGCTGTCAGTGTAGTGGATGAATTTAGCCCTTGATGGTCTAGATGCGATTTAAAACCAGCTCGGATTGGTAGTTTCACGTTCATGTCATAGCTGCTTGCTATCATCTGCCCTGCCTGCGCTTTTCTTGCTGGAAGAAGCCATCAGTTGAGCCCAGAGGGAGTTTGGGGAACTGGAGTGGGGTCAAGAAGAAAGCTGAGGCAGTGTGCAGAGACGACCTTTGTTATGGATGCCCAGTTCTTCTGCGGTCTTGCACAGGGAAACCTTTCATTTTCTCTTCCTTTTTTAAGGTTGCCATTGCCTGTCACTACAGAATAGCGACAAAGGACAAGAAAACGATCTTGGGAACACCTGAAGTGTTACTGGGCCTCCTGCCAGGGGCAGGGGGTACTCAGAGGCTACCAAAGATGGTAAGTGAGAGAAAAACTGTACTCGACAGCCCCTTCTGCTGCATGGCGTGCTCCTGTTCTGAAGTCCCCTTTCTGCCCTTCCAGGTGGGACTGCCTGCTGCCTTTGATATGATGCTGACCGGAAGGAACATCCGTGCTGACAGAGCAAAGAAGATGGGTCTGGTTGACCAGCTGGTGGACCCGCTAGGTCAGACGTGATGCCTCTCAGTTTCTTGATCTGCTGCCTGTCAGTTAACCTCTCCACCTTACTGGAATGAGTGGAGAAGCCATTGATGCAGCCAAGTCTAGTGGGGGTAGAGCATATGGACTGCTAAGTCCTTATGGTGCTGTACAGTCTCCATTCCCACTTTAGAAGCATGTGCACGGGGACCTTGAAATGTCAGGCTGCTGCTGAAGCTAAGTGAAGAGGGAAAGGTTAGTGTAGAGGGCAGGCCTGCTGGCACTCTCGCATGAGCTAATTATACAGATAAGAACCTGCATTCCTCATTTATCATGTCAGAGGGACAGGTTGCAACCCATAACGAAAGGAGAATAGGTGACCGATGTCTACATTCATGCAGCCTGCAGGTGTTAATCTCTGTGACAAGGTCTTGAGAAGAAGCCAACCCCCACAGCTTGGGCGCTCTGAATTGCCAAGTGGCTTTCAGTTGGATGCAGAAATTCCTTGCAAACTGCAGATCAAATTGGACTTCCAAATGCTGAGTGGGCTAGTGAATGATTTCTTCTGCTGTTCCTTCACTGGGGAAGGGTTCATGGAGGGTGACTCCATGGAGAGACAAACCCTCCACAGCCTCCTGTGAGAGGTCTGAGCAGCTGCAGCCAGGAGTTAGAATGGAAACCACTGTGCCAGTTGGTACTGCCACACAGTTGTAGTGTGCAGAGCACGCTTCCCCAGGCAGAGCGTGGCCAGACTACCCTGGTGGCCCCTAGCTCCTGAATTCAAAGAAAATAAACAAAAAGTGCTGCTCCCTCACCTGAGAAATGCAAGGGAAGCCCCTGTGTCTGGTCTGTCTTGCGTGCCAGCGTTCAGCTGGATGAGACGTCCTTAGCGTTATTCTCGCTTATAAAACAACCAGTGAGACCCAGGCTTGAGTTAAAATTGCCTGAATGAACTTTACCACTGTCCGCTTGCTTAAATGTGAATTGGCTTTTAAGAGCCAGCAAATGTGGCTTTTTATACCAATGATTACACTGGCTAGCTTAAAGGAAACCTGAACTTTCTGAAGAGCTGTTTGGAATCCTAGCTCAGACCAGATAAGCACGTAGGAGGAACACAAAAAACCAAACTATCTGCAAGCATTAGAGGCATTCCTCATTCATTCAAATAGCAGCCAGCCCCAGAAGGCTTTCTGCTGAGTATTCTCATGTTCATTCTAATGTCTTGGGGAAAGCAGTTTTAACTGGGGTGATGCTTTAACTCATGATAGAAAGCTTTGAAGGAGAGAGTCAGCATTAATCAGGAGGCTATTTCATGGGGTGCAATCTATTCCCCTTCAGCAGGGAGCTCTACAGCATTCTCTTGTTGTATTTACTACTGAGCCCAGATATAATTCTGGCCTGTGCCGTTCAGATGTGAGTCAACAGCTTGGAGCTCCTGGGTTAGGACACTACAAAGTGCTGAGAGGTGACCGCAAGTAAAGTAAACGTACGTGGGTTTGACCATCTTGCCTGAATAGTTCTTATAGCTCAGACTTACAAATAACCAGCTCTCTTCTTCAGCTGTAGTATCAAAGTCCAGCGTTTGTTGGTGTTGAAGACCCAAGCTAATGGAAAGGGGAAATCAGGTATTCACATTTTGTAGCGCATCAGGTCACTAAAGCTTAAGATCTCGGACATGTTGCCTTAAAGTGGTGGGAAGAGAATTTGGAAGCTGGTGAGGTTTGAGCTCTGAAATCCTAAAAGCTCTCAAATTTCCAATAAATTCTCTAAAATCCACTGGGCGGTGCTGAAATGCAGATCATGCGTTAGCTCTGGGTTCAGTTTGCTGAGCTGCCTGTAAGATGAAAAATGTTGTTTTGTTTGGACTGTTTTCCTCTGGAATGGCTCTGACATACTGCCAGGGTACGAGTGTTACTTCTTAACTGTGAGCTTTCATGATCTGGTCAAAATGTGCGTGGTCCTTTATTTGCTTCTTGCTGAGAGAGCCTCCAGCAGGCAGCAGCATTTGGGGTCTGCTGCTCTCAAGTCTTTATGAGAAGAGAGGTGAAACCTTAAAGTTGAAGACCTCTGCTTTTGGTGGAGGGCAAGAGTAGTGGGAGGTGGAGGAGGAGGGGGTTTCTGTTTTGTTCTTTTAAGTGTGTCCCGAGTCAGTCTGTTGTGGTGTTTGCTTAGATCTGAAGGCTCAGTGCAATGTCTGGTGTGGTCGGAGCAGCTTATAGTGAAGGTTAATGGGCTTACAGAGTTGTAACCTCCTCAGGTTTGTTCTGTAGGTCAGAGGCAGCCCAAGGCTGCGGGCTCCCTGTGGTGACTCTGTGCAGGATCGTCAGGGATTGCTCTGTCATTAACGACTCATTATATTGGCCTCCAGCAGCTTGACACGACTGCCTTTTCAGCCCTGGGCTCTGTCCTCCAGTGCTGCAATACAAGTCCTGTGCAACCCACCCTCAGATTGCTAAAACTCAGTTTGTGGTGGCTTGCTTCATTGTTTGTGGGACAGCTCTAAGTTAGCACGGATGGGCCGGGAGATGGATGGTGCGTAGCCTGGCTAGGGGTTATGGTGTGTGGCACCAGCTAAAGCAAGCGAGAGATTTCCTGCACCTGAGATCAAAGGTGGAGGCTTCACTGGACATCAGCTCCAGCGCAGGTAACTTTCAGGGGCACAGTGCTTTGTAACTGTTGTCTGTGTGTTGGCACAAGTTGGTTGTGCAGGCTTACTGTACCACGTAAGGAAGCAGAGGTGCAACAAGAGGGAGGGGAGGCGGAGCACTTACGTTCCGTTGAGATACGGGGATGCCGGCAGTTATGCAAAGTAAAAGGTTGAGGAATAAAGAGCACAATTTGCAAAAAGATGGTCAGGTGCTGGAATGGGGGTCCAGAGAGGTGATGGGACGTCCGTCCTTGGAGGTGTTCAGAGACTGGCAGAATGTGTCCCTGAGCAACCTGATCTGATTCCAGAGCTGGATTTAACTTTGAACTTGACCCCACTTTGAGCAGCGGGTCAGACCAGCTGGCATCCCATGTCCCCTTCGAACCAAAGGTGTTCCATGCTGTCCTGCAAGTAGTGTTTATGTTTGAGTGGCATACTGCTGTCTGCTTCATCGGGAGCTGGCGCTTTGGCATTTCTCTGTAATGCCGTGGATATTAAATGCCTCAGGGCCTTCTCATAGTTGCCTGTTGAGCTTTTCCATCATTGTTCCTAATCAAGAAAAGTCAAACGGGGGGAATAGAGTGGTAGCAATTCAAAGGAACATCATGTTGCTGTCTCGTCCTTGCTTCTCTGTATCATCATCATCCATCAGTGATAACTGCTGCTGCATTTCCTCAAGACTTCTTTTTTATTCACAGGGCCAGGTGTGAAAACTCCAGAAGCACGAACAATTGAGTACTTGGAGGAGGTAGCAATTGGCTTTGCCAGAGGACTAGCCAACAGGACTGTGTCTACCAAAAGATCGAAGGGGCTAATGCAGAGTAAGTCCGTGGGCACCATGGCCAAATCCCAAGGGACTGTAGTGAGTATAATCCAGCTGTGCTTCTCAGGGAGATGTTCCTGCTCCTACTTAATTCCATTTGCAAAACAAAGTTATTTCATGTTGTAATTGTCTCTTGAGCCGGGTGGGTTGGTAGAGAAAACATTGCTGTGCAGATCTGATCTTCAAGTGGTGTTGCCAGAGCTGCATGTGGTGGCTCCTGAAGGGAGCCAGGCCTCGGGGAGAGAGCTGCAGTTACCTCCAGAGGACTATCCATCTTCAAAGTTTTAGTAGCAAGTGTTGTACCAAGCTTGTGTAATCAAGCGGGAAGAGGCACATGAGTCTGCTCTGTACTAATCCTCTTCAGCAGCACCCTCATGCAGTTGGCAGAGCCCAAAAATGATGACATCTCTGTGCGAGTCCTACTCCACAGAGCTCAGTCTGCCACCAGCTGTATTAGGAGGATACTTCAGCCCTAAATGAGACTTGTCTGTGGAACGAGCCACAGAAACCCTTCTGAGCAGACCATGTACCTGTGGCTGAGTTTTGGGTGCGCGCTTCTATTGCGGATATGCAACGTGCACATCTGTACTCTAACTTTCAGGCTGATCTTTTACGGGCTGATTGTGCGTATAGCACTGCACTGAGACGTGTTCTGTCCCATCTTGCAGAGATAACAGACTATGCTATGGCTATTCCCTTTGTGAGGCAGCAAGTCTACAAGACGGTGGAAAGCAAAGTTCAGAAGCAAACCAAAGGACTCTACCCTGCTCCGCTAAAGATCATTGAGGTAACTCCCTCTTGCAGGGCCTAAGGCACTGCAGTGAAGGTGGATCTGTGGGGTAGCAGGGCGACAGGAAGGTGGTTCCTTCCTCCGAGTGAAGCTGTACACCCTGATCTTCACAGGAGATCAGTCTGGATGAGTGCTAGCTGTGTAGCGTCTCGAGCAAGCATGGTAAAACGCAACTTCCCAGAATGTGATCACCAATTTGTGTGGTACTGGTACCAGTAAGGGGAAGGCTTAGCTGGAATTCTTTGTCCATGAAACTTCCAGCTGCAGTTTGTCCAGTTTTCCTATACAGTTTCTAAAGAAATGAGTTAACTCGTTTGAAGCCAGGAAAATACAAATTGCTGTTTTCATAGCACTAACCCCACAGTACTGTAAAAGTTAGTCCCCTGAGTAACGCAGGCATTGTATTACTTACAGACATTGTCTGTGGTTGAATCCTTATTTTAAAATGACTTTTTACTATTTAAGTTGTTGTCAAGACTTGTCTAAAACCTGTGAATGCCCCCCTCTGACTCTGAGAGCGATGACATTACAGGAGCACAGTCCTACTGAAAACAATTCCTGAAACCACAGGGTATGTGTTAAAAAAAAATTAACCTGATGGAAAACTCCTTGCCATCATAGCTATTCTGTGCTAGAAGGACAAGGTGATTCATAGCTTTGCTTTGAACAGCATGGACAGGACCCAGAGAGCCTGAAGTGTCCCTTGAATATTGGGGAGAGTACACTGATGAAAACAGGAGGTGCAGCTAAACAAGTAATCTCATTAAAGCATAGCTGGTGGCAGATGTGACTTAACAGCAGTGTATCTTTATTGTTCCCCTTTGACTAGGTTGTAAAGACTGGTCTTGATCAGGGGCGTGATGCTGGATACCTCACTGAATCCCAGGTAAGGAGATTAGATCCCTGGTAATAATCAGTAAGTTGTGGAGTTGGGGGGATTTGTGTTTAACCACGCACGGAGGATAATATTCGCCACAGGCTGCTCAGAATGGTGTCTTGCTCCTTGCCCCTTCTTCTGGCAGGGAGGCTGTGAAAAAGGCCTGTCTTGAACTTCAGCGGAGCTCTTTGTCAAGGTTGTTCATCTGTGAAAACAGTTCACGCCTCTTCTCATGCCTGTCTGTTAGCTTTTTGAGTGGGGAATAACCAGACGGAGTTCACCGATCCAGGTCTCCCACACCAGGACTTTGATTTCTCTGTGTGTCTGAGCACTGTTTGCTTTTTCTGATTGTCACTGGGATAGGTGACCTGGAGGTGTGGGTGTAGTGCTCTGTCCCATTGGTGTTTCCAGGCAATTTGGTGCAAACAAGTAATTTCTTCCAAGAATTAACTTCCATTTTTACCAGTGTTCTATTGACTGTCACCTTTTTTCACCATCATCTTTGTTCAGGGCGTTGATTCTCTGTTACTGTTGGTTTGCTGTTTGTCCTGTTTCCTGGTCCAGATACTTTGTGCTGGTCCTTTTTCATCCACTGATAGCTTTGGGTACTTCTGAAAATGAGGTGGTTTTTTCAGTAGTGGTTTCTCACCCAGAACAGGGCTTCTCTCTCCATATCACTTGGTCAAACTCACCTGTGTAGTTGTTAGCCACTCCAGTCAGCATACTGGCTCGTACTGGCTGTCCAGGGGGACCTCAACAGACCAGAGAACTGGGCAGACAGGAACCTCGTGAAGTTCAGCAAAGGGAAATGCCAAGCACTGCTCCTGGGCAGAAATAATGCCATGCTGGGGGCCAGTTGGCTGAGAGAGTCCAGCGAAGGGCTACAAGGATGATTGAAGGCCTGGAACATCTGGCACAGGAGGAGAGGCTGGGAGACCTGGAGCTGTTCAGCCTGGAGAAGAGAAGGCTCAGGGGATCTTACAAATATGTCTAAATACCTGGTAGGAAGCTAGAGAAAGCATAGCTACACTTCTCTCAGTGGTATCCAGGGGCAGAATAAAAAGTAATGGGCAGAAACTGAAATGGGAAATTCCACTTAAATATGCAAAACAACTTTTTTACCATAAAGGTGATTGAATGCTGGAACAGGTTGCCTGCAGAGGTTGTGGAGTCTCCCTCGGTGGCGATACTCAAAACTCAACCAGGCGCAGCCCTAAGTGGCCCGCTCTGGTTGATCCTGCTTTGAGCAGTGGGGTGGGACAGGACAGTCTCCACAGGTCTCTTCCAACCTCAGCTATTCAGTGGATCTGTGATCCTGTGAAATCAGCCTCTATTTCCTCCTTCCTTTCCCTTCAGTTCTTTGGTTTCCTGGCACATCAGCTGAGTTTAGCACCGATAATGGCTGTTAAGGGTAGTCAAGTTTTTTGCATTTTAAGGCCCAGAAGACTTCACCTCTTGTTCTGCTTGCTGCTTTTCCCCTTCATAGGTCCAGCCAGTGGTGAGGCTGAGCAGACATTGCAGCGGTGTGGGTACACACACACATGTGTGTTCACAGAGTACACACGGCCTGGCTGCACAGACAGCGCAGTGCCTCCACTGGTGACACCCACGTACACGCAAACTGCTCGCAGGCGTGTCCAGTGATTGATGCTGATCAGAACTGAAGTTCACATGTGGCAAAAAGCGTGCATGTGTGCACACGCACGCCCTTAGTAGCTGGCTGTAGATGTTTCATCTGTCCATTAGCTGGCCGCAGGGCCCAGTCTGGCCGGTTGCTGGCCCATGGACCTCATGTCCTAGATGCTGTCCAGTCCCACTTGAGGTTTTCTAGTGCCACACACAGGGAAATAGGGATGGAGTTTAATATGGAGGTAGGACGGACTGGGCAGGTGCAGGGCTCTGGCAGACACTTTTACTGACTGGCAGCTTGCCTGTGTGCCACCCTTTTATTCCCCCCACACTGTCTCCACTTTCCTATGCTCATTCACCCTCAGCCATCTTGATCGTTCCCTTTCTCTGCCCTTGTCTCTGTCTTAATAAACGACCTGCCTGTAATTAGTTTTTCCTCACTGGTCCCAGTTTTTCTATATCTGTACTCAAATTTGTTATTTCTGATACTGAAGACGTAATTCTGGCTGTGCAGACTATCACTGGTGTGGTTACCTGACTCCCCAGAAGAACCATAACACTCCCATCTGATTATCTCTGTGTTTGGGTCATCTCTCATGTTGCTGCCCCTTAACCGCTGGTGAAATCCATCCGTCCCCCTCAGTACTCCCTGTAACTTTCACCAGCTTCTCACGCTGCTATCTGTCACATCCTGCAGCCTTTCCTGCCATGCTTAGTAGCTCCTTTTGTTGTCTCCTGGTGAGAAGGTCCTGCTCTGAGATGAAGCTGTCTGCCTCCTCCCACCTTAACAGTGACCTCCTGGGTATACCCCATCTGTTCTGGTTATGCATTCCACCCACGTTTGGTCTGGTGCTGAATAAAAGGCTCGGGATACTCTGTTCCTTGCAGAAAAGAATGAATGTTTTTTCCTGAGAATAGCAGCAGGATGGAGATCTTCCCGGAACCCTCTAAAGAATAATGTGTCAGTGTCGTGTCTTTTTTAATGCCACCCTCTTTCCCCTAGGATAGGAGACTTGCAGATTCTCTTCCAGGCTTTGTGTTTCTGATATTTTAACAAGCCTCTAACTCACAGGACAGTGGTGAAGGAAGATACAGCCTGCTCCAAACTACATTGTGTTGGCGGCTTTCCTTAGCTGACTTGGCTCAGACAACTTTAGTTTGCTGTTGCCCCACGCTGTCTTTTGTCTTCCTGACTGCTTTCCCATTTCATGCTGAGTGCTGGGAGGTTATGCAGCCTTTGATTTTTTTGTTGCTTGTCTCTGAAAATCGTATAAAACTACGGCTGTCAGTGAGAATTGGCCTGTTTAAAGATTTTTCTCAAAGCCTGAGGGCAGGACCCTTCCACCTGGAAGCTGCAGGGGCAATGGCCCCAGCTAGTGCAGGATGCGCTTGGGGGAGAAAGGGTCCTGTGTCAGTGAAATAGAGTCCTGCCACGGGGGAAGCGGCTCCTGCATTGATCTGGATCTCAGGACCCCGCAGCTGCTAGCCGGCCGAGGCAGCCGGCTGGTTTTTGGCTTACCATCACACCAGTGAACTGCTGGGGAACGTTCCTCCCAAAGCTCTGCTGGGAGGGTGGAAACGAGCTGTGAATGATTTGGTGGACAGGAAGGACATGGGCATGGAAATACTATGGCTGCTCTTGTTCCCTGGCAGAACCTCTGCCCCTCCAGACACGGGTGTTAGAGGTATGCACTCTTGCAGATGCTTTTAATTATATTGCTGATGCAAAAAGACATTGAACAAGCCATTTCTATGATTTCCCACTGCTTTCTGTCAGCCCATATGGGAGGTGGTGGTGCAGAGCAGGCTGTATGTAGCACAGAAGGTGCCTCTGGGCAAAGGATACATATGCCTTGTCCATTCTTCCTCTGTGTGGTTACCCAGGTGGCTGTGCTCTCCCCTTGCTGTGGTTTTGATGCGTGTGTGCTGGGAGATGGCTGTTAAATGCCAAACTCTCTGCTTCCCTCTTCCCTTTCTTCCAGAGCTTTGGCCAACTTGCAGTGACTAAGGAATCCAAGGCGCTAATTGGACTTTACCACGGGCAGGTGCGCTGCAAAAAGAACAAGTTTGGAGCACCGCAACGAGAGGTCAAGTAAGTGTGAGTGTGGGATGCCTGAAGGAGCAGCTGGAGGACCTCTGCTAAAAGGCTCTTGGGACCGAGTGGCCCGGAGTCCTGGAAAGCAGTGCAGCAGAGCAGGGGGATTTCTAGCCTCCAGCAGGCTCATCCTCTGCACCTCACCAGCAAGTGATGTCTTCTTGTGTGACCTCACTAAAAATAGTGCCTGAGTGGACAGGTTCTGTGCAAGTCTGATGGAAACAATGGAAATTCAGCTATTTCTAGCCTTGAATGTGTCCCTCTCCCCGTCCCTTTCTGTGCAGGACCCTGGCGGTGCTGGGAGCAGGGCTCATGGGAGCTGGGATCGCACAGGTTTCAGTGGATAAGGGACTGAAGACCATTCTGAAAGACACGGCACAGCAAGGCTTGGACAGAGGACAGCAGCAGGTCTTCAAGGGGTATGTGAGTAAAAAGGAATTTGCTCGGGATGGGATGTGGCTGTCTTTAGTCAAAATACTCCTCCACTGTCAGGCAGTCAGGAACTCCTGACACCTCTGTTCCTTTGGAGTCGTTACCATCAGATGTCACAGAAATGCTTTCTTTTAAGGTTGCCCTATGCAGTGTGCTGGGATATTGCTACGAAATAGGCCCAGACTATTCAGCCTTAGCTCCTTAGGTAGGTAGACGACCTAACAGATGATGGCTTTAGCTTTTAGATTTAGCAGTAGCTTATAGAGCTAAGGGGGGAGGGAGTAATCCTGATTGCTTAAAGGCCTGTGTCGGGAGAGACATCAGGTCAGACTTCTGAAAAGCTGGATTTCTTTCTCCTGTCCTCCTGGCTCAGCAGTAACAGTGTTCAGCTATGCATCGTCAGGAATGTCAGCGACTGACCTTCAGACCAGCGCCAGCTGAGTTGTGTGAGCATGGCCCTCCTTTTTCCAGAGGGAAGGAGAGGCCAGTACACAGAGTGACAGTCCTGCTGGATTGGAGACGGTGTTTTGGGTCACAGCTCCTGGAGGGAGGGATGCCCTTGGGGTGGTGGCACACCTCCAGCAGTCTGGGCTGGCCTGCCCAGGAGCTGTGACAGAGCTGTCCTTCCCTAGGCTGAACGGCAAGGTGAAGAAGAAGAGTCTGACATCATTTGAGAGGGACTCCATTCTCAGCAACCTGACGGGCCAGCTGGACTACAAGGGCTTTGAGAAGGCAGACATGGTGATCGAGGCTGTGTTTGAGGACATTAACATCAAGCACAAAGTGCTGAAGGAGGTGGAGGCTGTGAGTATCGGTTCTGAGCAGCTTGTGCTAGGTGTGGCCCCTGTACGGTGGAAACCCGGGGTGTCCTGCCCTGCTGGGCTTGGGTCACACCTCCTTTGTGTTGCCACTTGGTGCTTGCTGCAGGTTAGTTATGTCAGTACGTGGATGAGTGTCAAGGCATCCCTCCTGTTCTCTAAGGATACTCACTGTTCAGTGAGGAGTCAGTTCTTAGCTGAAAGAACGGGGCAGTTCTGACATTGCCTGACTCCTGGGAGCCACTCCAAAAAACCTTCCGTTTGAGCACAGTGATACGACACTAATGAGGAGTCAGTTCTTAGCTGAAAGAACGGGGCAGTTCTGACATTGCCTGACTCCTGGGAGCCACTCCAAAAAACCTTCCGTTTGTCTGAGCACAGTGATACAACACTAATGTCCTTTGGCATCTCCACAGCTTACAGTCCTTTACTTACTGTCTCTAGCTTGCTGCCACAGCTCTCCTCTGTTCAAGAGCACACTTGGGGAGATAACTGTATGGTGAAGGATCTGGCCTGTGGACCTTTCTGAAGTCCCTCCCTGCAGCGTCTGATGTGGTTGCAGTGGTCTGGAAGAACGGGGGCTCTGAGACTGATATTGCAGACCTGGGGAGAACTCAGGGGAAGTCAGATCTGGCTGACTTGGGCTGCTGCTTTGGAATTAGTTTCTAATGCTGTCTGCCCTGCCAGGGGAGGTCAGGTTTGCCTTTTTGCTAGGGTTACCAGGCACTGGGACTGTTCTCTCAGGGCTCTGCGTGTCACGCTCCGGATCTGACTCCAGAGCCTGTGCATTGACACTGTCTCTTCCACCCCCGTCACAGGTGATCCCTGCTCACTGTATCTTCGCCAGTAACACATCAGCCCTCCCGATCAGCCAAATTGCTGCTGTTAGCAAGAGGCCAGAGAAGGTGAGTACCCAGCGCCACGTGCCTGCTGTGAGTCTGTGCTGAGCTGCCGGTTAGCATAAAACCGGCTTTGCTGTGGGTGAGCGCTGGGATCTTCCGCTTCCTCCTCAGAACATGAAACAGCTCATCTTCTGCCTCCAGTGCGAGCTTTGAACAAAGAGCTTGTGGCCCTTGGAACAGGTAGGAAGGGGATGAAGGTGGACTCGCCCCAAGCATGATGTTAGCGAGGCAGGGAGGTTAGTGCACTTCAGGAAACGTTAATGCACATGAGGGCAGAGAAGCTACGAAGGGCTCAAGCTAAAAGAAAATTCCAGCCAGGAAGACTTCAGTCATTTTGATAACTGACTAGATGTAGGAGTGACTTGCCATGATGGGAAGATGCCTTCTCAGGGAGAAGGCACTAACCCAGCAGCAAAAAGGGAAGAAAAGTCAATGGGTGGAAGCTGAACTCAGAGGTGCTGAAACTGAAGCCTTGGTCAGCCATGGTATCAGCTCCTGAGGGGTGGTGGGGTTTCTCTCTGGCTCCAAACAATCCACGTTAATATCAGCTCCTGAGGGGTGGTGGGGTTTCTCTGGCTCCAAACAATCCACGTTAGTAGCATACGAAGTGCAGCATAGCTTGTGGCAGAGGTTTGGAGCAGAGGGCTTCTTCATCCCTTTGCTTGAAGTCTAAACAGCGTATAAAGTAGCTGCATCCTCATCCCTCAGCCCAGGCAAGCACAGCTGAATAGGAACACTGCTTCACGTGGAGCAGCCTGCCCTGAGGGACGTTCTCGGTGGAGTTACCACCTGAGGGGTGTGAGTGTGCTGGATTGGAGGGAGTCAGCTGTGCACTGGTTTTCTTTGCTGTCTGTGACTGCTGAAGGTAGCTGTGATACCTGCCAGCGTGTGCCTGGCAGATCTGACACAGGCCCTACAGGAGACCAGACATGACACTGCGGTGTCTGAAGTAGCGTTGAGGGACCTGCGTGACCAGGTAGAGTCACCTCCTGAGGGCTAGGCATCGGTCTGGGGCGGTCTTGATAGAAAAAGGGGGAAACACTTCTCCCTCATTTGCCTACCTGGGGCTGCAGAAAATGCAGGGAAGAGTGAGTCGTTCCCCTGTGAGACAATCCCATCTCCCTCTCCCAAACAGGTGGGATGGGGAGGCAGTAGCAGCTTGGGCAGAAGGAGAGGAGAACTCTGGAGATCAGTTGTGAAAAGTGTTACACAAAGGCAAAAGCACAGGTCCCCTTGGCTGGTTCCCTGAACACCTACAAGGGTCTTAAGCCTGCCCAGGGCAGTGCACGGCCTCTGCTGCTTGTCTTCCCGCAGAAGTTCTGCGGACATCCGCAAAGGTCATAGAGGAACGACATGTGTCCCAACTGTCACGGGTTCCTGTGACCTTCGTGAGCCTCTTCTGGTTTCCCATCGGACCAGAGTTGCATCGGAAATGCAAACCGAGTCTTATTTGTTCATACTTGCAAATAACATCCTCTTGGTGAATAAATTGCCTGTGTAATGACTCTTTATGGGGAAACTAATAGGAAATGAGTTAACTAATTAGTGTATTTTCTTTAATTAGTTTTGCAGTCTGCAGCTTGCCTGCAAGGAAGGTGCCTCCGACTTACACAAATCTTAGCGCCAAGCGTAGCTAACAGGAGGCATGAAGGTGACACTGATTACATGGTTGTGTTAAGAAAGTGAGCCACGCAGCCGAATAATCTCCACTTAAATGCTGTTCCCACAGAAAGGCTGCATGTACCTCTGTAATTAGTTTCTGGAAACATGCCTTCTCGGCCTGAAATTCACTTCATCACCAAAAAAACCCAAACCAAAGCATTCACAAGCAGAACAGGGGGAGCGTGCTCAACATCTGTCTCTGTGACGGCTGTTCCGCTCTCAAAGGCCAGAAGCAGCACCGGTGCCGCCCGGGGGTGGGCCTCCCCCGCCAGCTCAGATGGGACCTGCAGATCACGCAATGCCTGTAACTCCCCTGGGGCCTGAGCTTGGCTAAGGCTCCCCGACAGGTTTTGCTGCCAGCCTGTTAACAGGTTGTTCTCGTTTTACCCCAGATCGCAGCTGAG